GGTGAGAATCCGCTGCTCGTCTCGCTAGTATTTAGCCCCTTAAAGACATCGTTCAACTCAAATCCAACAGTTGGACCGAGTTGTGTCTCAATGTCACTGACGGAGAGCTCGGGTAAATGTCCCGCGGTAGATGTGCTCCCTCTTCCTGAAGAATTGGTCTGCCCACCTACTCGAGAAGAAAGTGGTGAACAGGTATCAAGCTCACAGTTTGATGGAATCAACTGCGCTCCGGGTGTAGCTTGGTCGCTTGTATGAGATGGTTCAATCAATTCAGCCAATCTACCGGAAGCGACGGAACTCACAGGCGCGGTTCCCACACGAGCAAACTGCGAGAAACAAGTAGCGTGAAACTGAAATTTATGGTGGAAAACTGCAATCGTAAGCAACGATGAGAAAATTCAACTTAGATGAACAAGAGGTATGACATCTGTTGAGAAGCAACCTTGACCACAGAAGTGAAGAAAGGCGCTGTGTGCCGTGACGGTGTGTCTGCAGTGTGCAAGAGTCAGTATTAATGGACAGTACCAAAGACAACAATGTGTGCGCACGGTAATACACTGGGTCGGTTCTTGTTCGCTCTAGTTAACGTGAGTAAATAGCACATCATAATTTCTCAGAACAGTACACAGTGGTATGCAGTTATTATATAACAAGATGCTGTCTTCTGTTTCGTTCGAGATGTAGTCCAGTCAACCTACGCCAAAAATCTGAGAAACACTTAACAGCTGACTCAACCTCATAGGGGATCATCAGCAGTAAAACTCACGAATCGCCCAGGCGATTCGAACCGGGACTTCCCCGAAGGCCAAGTGGCTACAAGCGGCTGACCAACAATGTGATCAATCCGCAGTTAGACAAGATACAGTGTCATTCATCTTTCACTTATGGAATTCACATCACACGATCACGTATTGAGTGGCCACTCGGGTGGCGACGTCTCAGATGGAAGGTTCACACGCCGTATGAATTACTCTTCCTTCTTATCTACTTTATTGTATTACACTGGCTACCTTGTAACCCGGATTTCAAATCCACTAAGAACCAATTGGACACACTAGGTTCAGGAATCTACGACTCCAAAACTACAGTTGTCATCAAACGGAAACGTTAATCTGTATGCTGTCCGGATACTTTAAAATCAGCCGGAGTATGGAGGCGAGACAGTCGGAGTACACTGTTCTAAAACTCCTTGACAGGAAAGGAAATGAGTAGCAGATAAACCTCCAAAAAAGACAGGTGACCCTATATTTACGCCGTGGAATGCAGGTGTATTAAACAGCGCCTCTCCATAGTAAACCACGAAATAAATCCCATCCAATTGCAAGGCTGGGAATGTTTGACTGGTTGTTAGATATAATTATGTCCATCAATTCATTTCCATCCCACCGTGCAGCTGAGCGCATAGATATTTGGCTGTGTCGAGTTCAGAATGTGTTGCCGAAAAGTGCGCACATCGTCAACTGTAGGCATGAACACAGTTGTCAGCTGTCAGGGCCGTATTCATTAATCGGCCTTTTCGTGGCAGGTACGATGCGGCCTTCCCACACACCCCTTTGAATTGTACCCTTAAAACCCGTTTATACCACGACCAACCCTACCAATTATAGTTACCGGTACTACAGTTTCCACTAAAGTTAACGCGATACCAAGCAGATGCGACACGAATTCAAATAGCCACTCACATTGTCTAGCAGGCAATCTATAAACGAGGATTCACTGATTGATGATACAAAGTGCGTGCAGAATCCACGACCAGCACCGGTGAGTCGATGTAGTTCGAATATCCTCACAAATATTTGTTATATCAAGCCTGAAACCTTTGAAGTTGTCAGATGCGGTAATTTCGAACCCATAGGCATGGTCTGGCGGCAAATCTAGTCAGTTTTCCTACGTAGCGCACATCACGCTTCATAGTGCTGACGCCTAAATCTTGCTTTGCCTTGAATTGTTTGTTGTGACGCACGCAACTCAAAGCAAAGAGCTGTGCTTGATTGGCACGAATAGAAAGCGTGCAGTAACCTGAAATGCCATAATTGATTAGGGTCCATGTTGGACTCAGAGGCGTTTTTAATATCCGTCATCTACGGTGACAAAGCTGTAGCAGCGAAAATGGTAAACGATGTGGTAAACAAAACTGTACAACAAAGCTTAATGAACCAATACACACGCACCAGCGTTTGATGATTTCTGTGTAATTTTTCTGGTGGATAATGTACTCTACGACGATTCTCACTGTATAACTGACACCTACACGCGTCCAGTGGAAACAGTGGACAAGCCATACAGACCTATAGAAAAATGTCTAGGTATTCTGTCGTACTTAGGTAAGTCCCATAACTCGGGAAACTTTTTGTCCAAGGAGTGAAAACTGGATCACACACACACAAAGACACACTGATTACGAAGGAGTACATCACTTCAACCACAAAGTGCAACTTCAAAAAGGCAAACCTGTTGTTCTTGGGCCCGCATATTTAAAAATTGTCTAGCTTCTTGTTGTTGCCTTTGAGCTTGCGACAAGAGATTCGGTCGGTCCAGCAATTCAGAAACTCGAGAAGAGGTGGCAGGCATTCCAGGACCATGCACCTGAATCCGATGTTCGGTGGGTTGCAGATGAGCCATCTCTTGAGAACAACGCAGTCGCTGTTGGTCGTATATGACATTCTCTTGTTGAAGCGGAAACTGTTTCACCGACTGCTGCTCACAGTGTAGAGAAGCAGGATGCTGAGAAACCGACTCAATGGGTTGAACTGGAATCGCCTCTGACTCACCACCTCGAACAACCTGGAGAGCTTGTTGTTTGGGCATGTTTTGTGGATTCTGTATGGGCTGAGCAGCATGTGCTGAAGTGGCTAGGACAAGTGAATGCTTTGTCTGGTTTCGCAACTGTTGCAATGTGGACGAGGCTACCCCCTGAGCAGGTGAAGGTGCGGCCCCAGTAGCTAGAGTCTGTTGAATAGTAGTTTCGTTTGGTTCAGCATCCTCCGCATCTGGTAGGTCATCGATGTTCATGAAGTAGTCTTGCATGTTCATAAACACCTCGTCCAAACCTGATGCGGAAAGCAAAATAACATGCATACTTTCGGTATGGTTCCGATGGTCCGGGACAACAATCACCAATTGATTTACATTCTTCCAAACATGTGATTCAATATGAAAAGGAATTGCTGACGTAAGTTTGAGTTCCAGTAGAGCTTATCAGTAGCTAAACTAACAGAGATAATGAACGTAAAAAAGAAACTTTGAACTGGGTGACGAATGCCTTGTTCATGCTTTTCTTCTATTCTCATTGTGTACAACGTGATTCCCCGCTTTATTCATTCGGTTTTGCGCCTATGACACTTTTTTTCCTTTTGACCTGAGCGTAAAACTCTCTTTGACCATGTCATCGCATGTTCTGCTTAAATCAACAGGTCAATTTGGCTACCTTGTAGCCATGTTCATCATCATCATTATTCAGAACGCATCGATACAGAAGTCTTTAGGAGAAAGAACCAGTTCTGAACTGAAAACATGGTACCTAGGAAGCAACATACCCGATGGTGGTCTGTCTTGTCGGCTATGGTCCGTTACCACAGAGGCTTGGGGCACGGGGACCGAACCTTCTTGACCAGGTGATTGCATTATGTGTGCAGGCGTCCTTTCCGTTGGCTCTAGAATTAATCGAGTTGGTGCATCGGTTTTCGACTGCGGTACACCGGTACGGCTGGCCGAACCAGTTGGCAACATGCGCTCCATTGAGGTAGATCTGAGAACTTCAGTCTGTGTCGGTGGGCCAGAAGATGGATAAGAACCCTGAGGTCGACCAACCAGGCTCCGGGCAGATGCCTCGGATGCAAGAATGAAGGGTTCTGTGGACGCTTCCGAAATCGAAACTGCTCGGAGCAGACGTGGGTTTTGTGATTCTGTTTCAGAGCATAGAATGGAACTTTGGTTGGCCAAAAGATTACCACTGAATTTAATTTCTGATGAAGAATGAAACTCCAGTCCATCCACCATGCTCAACGTCGTTGAGATATCTTCGTCTGCTTCACATTCGAGTGGCTCCGCATCAAAATCGTCTTCAAAATCACGCAGCTCGTCCAAACCACCTAGATCATTATCAAGTTCATCGTCTAGCTCAAGATCGTCTGTGATATCATCCAAAGCACATTCTTCGTCCGCAGCCAACTCATCACCAGCACTTGCACCTTCAATACTGTCGAAAACTTCGGAAAGACCATTACTTTCAGCAGACCGGTGGTCTGTTGAAGTGCGTTTTTGCTGTTCATTGAAACCAGTCTGTAAATGACAAAAGAAATAAAGATACCTGTAAATTCTAGAGCAGCAGCAACACGTCATGGGAACTTTAACAGAGTGCCACAACATGAGTGGGGTAGGAGTTCCCATAAAAACAACAAGTGTTAGGACCGCATCACATCTCAGCTAGTCTGAAGGCCATTGCCACAACAAACAGAAAATCTTTCCTAGTTCAACTGAAAGTGGCGAACTCAATCGTGGTTTTTCGCATCTAAGGGGATCAAAGTACGGATTTTCTAAGAGACACCGACTGAACCAACATAGATAGAATCTAGAAAGCTATAGACCGAATTACAAGTAACAGCCCCTAGAGAATCTGTCTCAAACTATCCTACGTCGTATTTACCTGGCTGCTTTAAGCCGGAGTAAAATAGCATAAATTTGATAAGAGAGAACCAAGTTATCAAACGAACACACGTGCCTTAAGTGCCGACCCACTACGGGCTGCCAACACACCAGATCCAGATTGTCGCGAAAATTGTTGAGACGATACTCCGTATGAACTGGAAGGTTTCTTCTTCTTCATCGGCCTTCTGTTTGCCGCCAGTAGGCTAGCACCATAAAACGCTTCCATCAGGTAGTCCGGATAGTTCTCCTCCAACTCTAATTTCTTCTTGCCACCTTTCTTGCGCTTTCCGCCCAAACCACTGGAGTCGTTCGTCAATGTTGTCAAAGTTCCATAGGTGGAAGATTGACAAAATGGATCTGAGGCAGCAGCGAGTTGTTGTTTCTTGGTCTGAAATTTGAAAGGTGGAGGATGAGATGGATCAAGGGCTGAATCAATACACCTTTTATTTGGTAACCTACTGGGCACTGGAAGTAGCAAAGGTTAGGAGTGATAACGCGATGCATTTTCTACAACATGAAAGGAAACGAAACGAGGATTCATCCAGCAATCGACAGAGCATGACTTGGTGTTAGCCACAGCTGAATACGTACCCTCCACCTCCAAAAAGATCAGCAGCTATTAATTGTACTAGCAGATACAAGCCACTCATCATCATCAAGCCACTCACGCAATCTGCAGTCCGCTCAAATACCAACGCACCCGATGAGCGATCGTTCTTCAACCCTTCGGGCACTGAGCTACAAAGAACTGCAGCAATGTCCAAGAGGGAACCTCTAGAGAGAAGCCCCTGACCTAGATATAACTCTTGGAAGCTAAATATACCATTTCTTATGGGTGTCGGCCTTCTTAAGTAAGTGTACGGTGGTTCTCCCCGTAGTTCCTGTCGTCAGCAAGTGAAACGATAAGGACTAAAATGACACTTTTTAGTCACATAAAACGATGACAGAATAGTAGCGAAGCATTAGTGAAAACCGATGTTCAGTTTTCGATGACCATGGTGTGGTCAGTTCAGCAGACCTACTTCCTTGCATTCAGTCAGAAAAGTCTGGCTAACTTCCAACAGACATCTTCAAAAGACGACGCACTAAAATATGCAATCGGTAGGGAAGTTAGGACCAAACACCATGCAAGGATATCGGCCAAAACCATACAAATATCAAATCGACTGGGAAAAAAGGAATCAACTAACGTTAACCCCGCTGACCTGATTAATACGGACTGGTTTGGCTCGGAAACCACCGATACCCAAGTTACTGAGGCGACGGCTCTTGGCTCCAATCGCTCCGGACAATTTGCCTCCACCAGCGGCAGCAACGCTCTTTGAAGACCCGGGCGGACAGCGCTGCAGAGCATTAAAAGTTACGAAAATGGACGGTAAAAATAGCAAAACCTTGTGAGCTGCGCAACAGAACATTCAACAGAGAATAATTTGTTTGAGAGCTCCAATGATTCGAATTCCTTTCAAGAACGTACGGAAAACTGGATTGTTTAGCCGTAACGAAACAGTATGTTTCGGGAAGAAATGGTCAGTTCTGTAACAGTCTCACACCCCGGGTTTTACCAGAATCCTGATGCACTATGATAAGAAACTAATATCCCGAACAAAGCTTGCGGTTTCAGACCACATGCTGGACTCCACTCGAGGCTCCTACCGAGACATTTTATAGGGGAGAAGTTATAGACAGGAATTCATGAGCTGGTGCTAATCTAGTCCCACGGATTTGAGCTCTACAGTGTCAAGACCTCGATCGATCGGTTTAATTCTACGCAGACTGGTCTGGGTTTGATCCCCCTCAGTCTTGTAGCAGCACTTGACACTCTACAGGTGTGAAGCGCAAACCAAACCATGTGGTAGAATCATTTAGGCTATTTAGAATGTTTGAAGGATCTGAACCAGGCAGAGGAATTTCAAGCAGCACGACAATAACAGACTTTTAATGGGAAAAGGCCGGAGAGCATTGTTGCCTTAAACCATCAAGTGTTCTGAGAATAGACAGTCAAAAAAGCTTTCAGGTCAAGGAAAACGATCAATGTAGGATGTCTGAGAGCGTTTTTCGATAGCCTGCCTCAAAGTAAACATGTTTGCATCCTCGGTAAGGGCGAAGCCCAGTTTGATTGCCACGAACGTGTTTCGCGCGATAATCGATCCATCTACGCAAAATAATGCCAGAGAGCACCTTAGATTCGACGACTACAAGGATGATGCCAAGATGGTTTTCGTATGACGTTCTTGTGCCCTTTTTCAAGACTAGCGCTCCCTTCCACTGGCATCCTGTTTTCGTTCCAAATCCTCCGGAATATGGTGGTCAGACTGCACACCAGGATCTCACCACATTCTTTTCCCAAATAAACCACTTATTCTGCTCCGTTCATGTCTGAAGAAACGCATGTATACACTAAAGTAAGGTATTGTTTCAGGTGGCATCGATTCTTCTGACACTCACATTCATAGAACAATTGGTTGTTACCTCAACACGTCCATGTGAACCGCAGCAGAGGCTTCGCTATAAATGTGCCAAGAGGATAGGTAACAGGAGCGAAAATCACATTCTGACGGTAGAGAAACCACAAAAATTTCAAATTTCACCAGGAAATGAGCACTCACAACTATTAACAACATTATGGAACAGATGAAAACCTGGCTTACGAGAGATTCCTGGGTGCTTGTTGAGGTCCCAGCTGTGACAGGTGTAGTAACCGAACCGGTATCTTCTTCAGATAGCATGCTGGGCGATTTCCAATCCGGGTAACTGACCGATTCTGCCTCCGCATCTAACGCAGATTGAAGTGAACCTTCTTCGTCACCCTGGAAAAGGAAATTGTTCTTGGTGAAGAAAAGTGTGATAGAAGGAATGTGACGACTTAAGGTCACTTGAAGGTTGCATCTCAATCAGGCTACTATTCCCTTGTATTCATCATCAAGCTTAATGCACTATACAAAGAATATCTAACTAGGAAAAGAACAGGATGAAAAAAGTGTGGATGGCTACGCCATACAGAACATTGTTCATGAAGGCTTATTATAACTTCCTCAACATCCGTTCGGCATCGGAAGTGGACATGACTTGAACTGTCCATCGGTAACGATAGGGATGGGGTAAGGAATTGAGCAACAGATGGTAAATCTGAATTCTCAGCGTACACAACCCACTCGTTAGTAGCCGTAGTACAGTGGCAAGACAGTTATGGGGCAAGCCACCAAAACCCGGCCGATATGTCGACAACCGGTCCTATCATGTTTTCCCAGTACCAACCTAACCGGAATACTTCGCACAGATAAGTTACAATCGATCAATTGAAGTCGTGAGAAGACGAAACTAGTTTGAGTGCTGTTTGCGAGACGCTTTTCCCGACATCAGGGCGACCACATGATCCTGTGCGAACATCAGGAGATACAGCAGCACATGGCTATATATTGATATAGTCTCCTTTCCAACTCGGATCAACTCGCTGCACTGATGGTATGAGGACCTCAGAAAGTGCAATAGTTCAGTATGAGGCTCCGTCAACTACCAAGATTGCTCAAGTGGTTAGAGCACAAATTTACTAACCGGAAGGTCCGTGGTTCGAATCCGACCTCTGTCTCTCGACTTCCCCTGTCTAGGCTTGGGCAACCTGGCAGTATCCCAGCCCTCGTGCTTCCTTCAGGTGGCATGGCAGCTAGGCACCAGAAGTGTGTTATAGCTGAACGATCCACCTACCAAGATCCACCTACCGACGGTGTCCTCTCGATTGGTGACAAAGCTTGTGCAAGCCAATTGTGAAGCTCGGAAAAGAGATCAACAGCTAACTGATCAACTTGTACATTGGTGTCGCTCTCCAAAAAATAAAACGCAAATACAATCTGAGATACAATTGTATCGTTCTCCCAACAAGAGTTGATGAAAACAGACCGCCAATTTGACACAGTATCTTCAGACCGTAGCATGCCGCTCATACTCCGGTGTCTTTCCCTCCCTCTCCCCCACATACATGGTGCTTCAGGGTCTTCAGATAATTCCACAGGCGGCCTGCTACAATCCAGTCGAGATATCATTACGAAAAAGCAGCAAAGGCGAGGTGGGAATAACTTGAAATACAAATTTTAAACTAACCTGGCCATGAGATCCCACAGGTGTCAGCTCCGAAAGAGGAGTGTCATTCGAGCGACCTAGGAAAAGAAGATGAGGAAAGGGTAAGTTAAAAATGGGAGCTTGCTGAACAGCCCTAAATCTAAGAGAGATAACCGTGCGATCAGCAATCAGTAGGATGGGACGCGAAGCCCACTTTACGGCGGTCTATGTATCTGACACACGTGTGTATAGTAACTTCATTACGGAAATGTTGAAGGTTGGGTTTGTGAATATCAAAAAACTACTCCCCATCTGCTGCCTTGTCAGTATTAACCACCATGCAGGCTAGCTACGAAGACTATGTTACCGGGTCACAATTCCCTGACGATCGCATCCACCCATCTTCGGTATAAATCACCCCTTTTTGCACTACAATGTATGGAGAACTAATTCGACATCGAGTACACCTTGAACCAAAAAGTGAACCACACCCTCATCCCACGAGCTCCCGCACAATTGAGAATTATCATTTGTTTCAAAGAACACCTCAATAGATCAGTAACCCTGGGATAAGCTCTGGTTTCGTCTGCCGAAACGGAGGTCAACAAGAATATTTACAGAAAGCGGAGTAAAAACGCCAAAAAGAAAGTGCAACCGAACAACTTACCGTGGACAGTGAAAGCCCGGTGGAGATCATTCAGCTTAATCGCACTTCAGACAGCGCCACCGACATCTCACCTACTGGAACCGTGATTACACACGGCTCAATTGCGATGCCAAAGGAAAGTTCCAACCTTAAAAGTGAGCCCGATATCACCAATATCCCTGTCTTCAATCCCCTTAGTGGACAGTATGTCCTCAAGGGCTACACCAGCATGCACCACACAAAGAGTACTTCAATATAAGGCGCAGAATACACCGTCCACACCGTCTTGCTGAGCGACAAACCACAAGTGGGGCTAACCCAGACTGGATTTCACGCTACCAAACTTGAAATCAAAGCTGCTGCCTAAGGTCAACAAACTCCAAATTAGCATTCACTCCATACTGGAATGGTGGTCGTATTCAAGTACTGTTGTCCGCATATCTCGAATGGTCAAGTGAAAGTTGATATGAAGTCATACAGCGAAGATACTAGAACAGACCTTCTTTTATCCGTAACTGAAAACTCCAGTATGATCATCCTAAAACCAAGCTTACCGGATTACGCACGGAGAAGGGACAACCAAGAGCTCCGGTGCATCCGAAAACTTCAGTGAGCGCAACGTGTAAGGTTAAGTCTCCCAGGAGAACGAATACCAAGGAATTAAATTTCCTTGTTTAATGACGCCAGTTTTACTACCCCACGCAACATATTCGCACTGATGTGAGTGAATTTAACCTCACCACATCCCAAAATGACTGATTTGACAGAAAATGAAAGAGCACTACCTGTCAAGTTCGACCGGAAGGCTGTAAAGCGTTACCTCGTGTTCGCGACAGCACATGATGGATAGTTTAAACTCGCGTCCGTCGCGAGCACCCACTGATGTCTTCGATGGCCCAGATACACAATCCAAAAGTCAGAAAGTGGAATCTGCAAACTTGAACGATCAGGTAGGTATGGGGCTAAAAATTCAAGCTTCGTTTCACCGATTGCAACTCATGATATAGCCATCTGTATGCGTTTGCAAGACCGTAGTAAAAAATAATTAAAGCAGGCAGAGAAACAAGAATGGAGGGAGTTAAGAGAATTTAACCAAATACGCTTATCAAGCCAACGACGAACGGCAATCAAGGAAAAATACATCCGTCTGTTTAGGCCTGATAATATAAACACATTTAGTGTGTGTTAGTAGAGTACAAGTCCCATAAAGTGGATGGAAAGACCGACGCTCCTAAGCATCTGTAGTGCTAATGAGCTTTAGTACGAGCGAAAACCGAGTTTGGTGATTCCATCTGTGTGATATAACTGCGTCAACACAGTGGCAAGACTGTTCAAGCGAAAGTGCAGTATCATCGAATTCCGTAATTATAGGATCAATGTCCAAAAATGGAACACCAGGGCCCCCACATCTTACAAAAAACACGCGACGATGCACCATCCAATGAGTGATGCTGTTCCAAAGTTAAGTTTATAGACAAACAACTGCATAGGATGCAAATTACTCACCCGAATCCAAAACCAATGGAGTTGGAGTGCCCTGACTAGACAAGCGACGCTGCCCAGCTATGGATGGTTTCTTCGGCTGGAATTTGAGCATGGCGTGCCGAATGGTGCTTAAACCCGTCTCACTCAAAACAACGCCATCCAAAAAGAATTGTCTTTATTGGAGGAAATAGACACAAGAAAGATTGTTATTGTGTGAAGAAACAATGACAACGAGGGATGGATATGGTTGGGACAGAACAACGTTGTCAGTTAGGTTAGGAAAAATAGGCGAGATTGCGGCAGACGATAAACCATACAAGAATCACAGCGCAGCAGGCCTCTACTGGAAACAAACAACAAAATCACTGCCATTTCAGGGATTGCACCGTGGTGGAAAAAAGGTATCCGACAGGTAAAACACGGATGTGGAGCACATCAAACAACAAACGGATCACAGGTAGTAAGACAAACCGATCCAATGAAACAGAGCCACAGCAACCTCTTGAGCTTTGATCCGGCTAAATCAAACAGTCACCCGTAAGAAGTGGATATGCATTCTCTTGTCCCGATGTATACCCATTTGCATGTCAATTTGGTTGTCACAGGAGACTCAAGTGAATCTCTCGTTAATGATGATGCTTGTAATGCGGAGCTTAGTGAGTGGGTGCACATGATCTACCTCACCAGCTAACTAACGATGAAGATCAGCCTTTGACGCTGTAGTTGTGGATGGGTTGGTTGGCCAACACTTGCCCAAATTTAGTTGCAACGTAATGCTGCCCCTTCGATTATGGAGTTCAGTACTGAAACAAAGCACCGCACTCCGTCCTTTGGCGCCAGATGACCAAAAACAAGTCAGTCAGAAGCACGTTGACCGTTGATCACGCTGCAGGTGTTTGTGAGGAGGTTGACCAATGCCGGAGACCTGGTGTAGAATGTGTACTTTGCAATCAAACCATGCACTGAACATACTAGCTCCGACGACTCTTCGGTCTGAGGATTCTCTAGCTGAACAACCACTACCCGTCACACTAGCTTCCTCGCATTTGTGTTTCGTCATTGCCGAATTTCGCAGGAACTGGGCCATCTAAGCAAGACTACATCCATTGGGCAGTGCCCATTTCTTTAGCTTTCACGAGTTGTTACAGATGCCCACAACCGGCATCTGTTATGCCTTTATTGTGACTGTACAATAATGATCATGTCTGATGGTGTGTCAGCCACTAGTTGGGAGTAAGCATTATCATAAACGAGGGATTCAGCTGAGTCTCCCGTGAAAGCTAAATTGATTTGTAAATGAGTGAACTTGTCGAAACCAGCCTAATTTGAGTCCAACTTGAACATAAGGTTGACGGAAACTCGGGGACCGTGGCTGCCTGATAAGAGGGGCAAAACCGGTCGTGGGCAGTTGAAGAGTTCTCAGCAAACTTGTGAGTAGTTTCCTTTGTGAAAAATATACAACCTCTTGGTTCACAAGGTTCGGTGCAACTAAAGAGAAACGGTGACGAAGCGAAATGGTCACTAAGTGAATGACCGCCTCTTGATACCACTGGACTGTCGTGAATTATGCGCAGAAAAGCCCTCACATAAAATATCCACCACGTGACAATGTTCAGATAAGACAAGCCCGAGCCCATAAGAGCGCACATCCTGATATCATCAGTCGCGATCAATTCTAGATGAGATACAAACGCTGAAAAACTATGCAATGACGAAGGGAGAACAACCTCCATCACTTGTTACTCCGTAAAACTGTGAAGGTACAACCTCCAGTGGAAATCGCCTGAAACTGTATAGACCACCTGTAAGTGAGTCTATATTCAATATCTCAGGTCGCACAGAACCAGTTAAGGAGAATAAACAGCCAATCAATCAGCAAGTCAAACCAAATGAGTCGAATCGCAGAAACCAGGGGGTAGTCGCTCTGAATCAATCCGATTAAAATATGACATTCACTGGAAGCGTTTGCGACCAACAACACTTTGTTCTGTTTGAAAGCCGGAAACATTGATGAAAAACGTGTACAAGTGGCCCAGGTGATCGGGTTTAAATTGTCTCAATTCATATCCACAAACCATTCAAATGAGGTACTGAGAAGAGATCCCAAAACGTCGGTACATGAACCCTATGTGGCAACAAAGCTCTGGCTGAACTGGTGAAAAAATATGCCGAGAAGAGACATATATGAGAGCGGCAGTGTAACCTCCAAAGAAAGATAGTCAAAACTGGAACAAAAAACCTAGTTTGAAGGCTGACAACTTCTTTACAGCCTTGCACATCAGAATCCTGGACCAGAGAACAACAGACAGTGAGTAAAGGACTCTTGAGAAAAAAAAACGAAAAAACATCACAAGCGACCTTGCTATCTTGAAGGAGAACAACAGAAGTGAGTAAAGGACTCCTGAAAAAAAAAACGAAAAAACATCACAAGCGACCTTGCTATCTTGAAGGATCGAGACCGACAAACTAAAAGGTGAAATTGATGGAGTAGGACTGCCGACCAGAGGTTTCTGCTTCCAGTCGTAAATCGGACGAGTTGTTTGCAAACTCTTACTGAAGGTCTATATGCGCCTCCAATTTTACGAACTAGCAAGGACCCGTTACTATGCATTAACTAACCTCGTATGAAGAAATGAAGACTGTATAGCTGATTACCATATTCAACCAAAGGCATAATTAAAATGCCACCGCGAAATGCCAAAAAACACCACGTGCAGCGCCTCGTAACCTCTAAATTCAAACACTACGAGCAAAAGAAGCGTAAGAGACGATAAACAGGAAAGTTTGGAAACCAGTCTATTCGTACCTTGCTTCTGCTGGCGAGCCCGGTTCCTCTTCCTGTCGCAAACGGCTCAACACGGACGAGTAGGGAATCGAAGACGATGACTTTAAGAAAAGCGGTAACAGATTGGGTAAGTAATATAGATGCGGAAAATTGATCATCATGGTCATCATCATCATCGACAGCATGACATCAGTGTTCAACACCAATACTTCACTGCCGTACAACCATGATTTATTCGAAAGCCTTATTGTAAAGAAAAGAGTAAAGGTGGACGGGGAAGGGACTTAGTGTTAGCTTAACACAATCATTCCGAGGCAACTATACCTCCAGACACTCACTAAGGCGATCTGGATAGAACCTGACAAGATCGCCACTGACATCGGTTAGAAGCCGTATCCTGCAGCGTATCCAACCAGGCACAGTGAGGATCACGCGGTCCCCATCCTGGGAGGCGAGTAGCACCGACAGCACCCAAGCGTTTCGTAATTCCTTTTATACCCCTCTGCCAGATCAAGGCTTCGCTACCTCTCTGCTTACGCCACTCTGATTTAGGCACGGAAAACAGCACTCTCTTTGGCAAACGATGGCTATGCATACGCAACACATGTCCCATCTAATGGAGCTTCTGGTGCTGGACACATTCTTCAATGGAAGTACCCGTTGCACAACCGAAAACACCAACCCACACGAACAATGATCCTGAGACAAGAATTGTCGAACACCTGAAGACGTCTCAGTTCCGCTGTCCGAACAGGCCACGTCTCACAGCCATACAACAAAACAGCCCGTACAGTAGCTTGATACACACGTCTCTTCAGATTCAGGGATAAGTCATTCTGACGCCATAGATGTCTCAAATTAGCAAACGCGGCCCGAACATTTCAGATTCGTGCATTCACCTCATCCGTCACACTACAATCAGAACTAATACAACTTCCAAGATACGTAAAACGCTCTACAACTTGAAGTACTTCTCCCGGAAAAGTGATACACTCAATTGATTGATAAGAACATAAGTAACCATAAATATAATCATAAGTAGCGTCTGCTACCGGTAGGGTAGTCCAGGTAGTCCAGTTATTAACCCAAAAGGAAAATAGCCCTGAAAAGGGCTCATCTAGAAGGTTGAAATTCGAAGGACATTTTCATGCAAGGTGACACAATATGTGGAGAATCAGTGTATTGATGCTTATCGATGAAATGTGCATCTCAAATACAGAAGCACTACTATGAACAAAGAGAGACATCTTAGATGGTTTTTCTACCTACTGACGTGTCTTAGTTTAGGACAAAAATGTCATTACCTCATCATGGTTAACAGCTTATTGTGTAGATGAAAGGTCGTGATGAAACTGTTCTCAGGCACGATAGAAGAGCTATTCGACCAGCTGTTACACTTGTACATAGAGGTAGCTCAAATAGAAACACCCTACAGCGCGACTGAATATACTTCGTACACAATGAGATCCTCCCGTGTGGAGTGTACAACAGCAAGCAACAGCCCAGCTGATATCAAACCAACGGGAGTGAGAATAATGCACTACCAAGCAATAGCCCGAGCAGTTTTGTTTCGCAACCAATCGGAGACGAAATCCCACCGGACGTACTGTCACGCAACATTTGCGTCTTTTCACGCTGCGCATTCTTGCTTGCTGCAGCTTACTGATGGAGGTCTGGGTTGCATATCCAAAATATCCTAAGATTTTCGTACGAAGCTCTGGACGCTAAACGGCTTTCAGAAAATTATAAAGACATCGATGTGCAGCCTCGAGCTCGCGAACCAAGAGGTTGAGTGACAAAGGGTGAAATGGCAGCGGTGGAACTTTTGTCGTTGAAAGGAAACTAAACGCCTGTTGTACCGTGGTTAAAAGTGACGACGATTTGTCGAGTATCGAAATCTCGTGACTAAAACCGACGATTTTGAACCATTTCACAAAAAGGTACACACTCACCAGTTTATCAGAGAAAAGGTTTTCTGTTCCCTCCCCAAATTTCACATTTTCCAGCGCGTGCATATTGCTGTTGCCAGCTTGTCGATATGCCAACACCTTGAAGAAAAATATGGCAGTGTCGGTGTTGCAAAACGAAAGTCATTTTCACGTAGAGACAAGAAACACCGGCAGACACAACTAAGGCAAAGCATACGTCACAACATACTAAAAAGGACCGGCTTTACAAACCGATGATTACAAAAACGTGTAAAAGATAGAAGGGGGTACACCACGTTCAGCCAGCTTGTCCTCGATGCTTTGCTCCATGAGCAAAGCATCTCCTTGCTAGCAACTGTGGAATGAGAGCTGAGCGATCTGCATTCTAATTGTGTCGTGTGCAACCCGCATTATAGCCGAGGCAGAAGAACAAAGTAGAAAAAAGACGAAACACCATCATTTGGAGAAATTCAAAACAGTTAGGGAGCTTACCTGAAGATGGCCCGCACCCATCTCTGCTCCCGCCTCCCGACATAACAGACAATTATAGCCCATATCTGTGGCCAGTTCCAATTCGTCTTCTGTACGTAGCTGGTCACAACCGGCATGCGACCACCGCGAACACAGAGCGCATCGAATCAACAGTTCACCTTCGCGATAGGCCAGTGTACAAACAGGACAGGTGGCCAAGGAGGCACATGGTGCACACATAGAGTAGTTGGCATGCCACTTCCCGTTCAATCCGGGGTCGCGCTGACCGCAGCTGGTGCAAACCACACACTCCGAACATTTCCAACCACCCTGATAAATGTAGCAGGAAAGTGAAACAAGACTATTAGTGTATCTGGAAGCGCAGAATCACAAGCAAAGAAAAATGAAATCCTGACATCTAAGTAGTTGCACTGCATGTATAAAAACAGGTATACAAACCTCTTTTTACGGGGAGTTATACCTACATTGTTGCGGACTTGTGCGAATCTAGAAAGGGATGCTATGAAGAACTATTTAGAAACAGCATACCCGAAAAACCTTCTGCTCTGTAACAAGCGACACAGAGTGTGCAAAATGGTCAGCCAATAACTGTCCGATCCCCGTTTGAGGCCTTCCGATCAACCACCTTAGTATTTCATAATGTACAACTGATGATCAACCCAAGCAAAATTACACCGGTCGACAAGCTCCATCTGTTTTAGTCAACAATGCAGACAAACTGTCGGAGAACTACGAACAAACAACGGTGTTGTGACATAAGCTACTAAAGGACCAATCAGGAACCTCAATTCTTCATGTCTCCTTTCGAATGTGTCATCTCTCTCTCCAAGTGCTGCTGCCCAATAAGACTACACGTATTCGTCCAACTGCTCACGACGTTCCTCACCCACTGAGTTGCTGCACAGAACTGTCACTATGCACTGGAACCCAGCTGAATCTCTCGTTTATGATGTTTCTAAGAAACTGAAGAGTTTTCACCAACTTCATGAGTAGTGTATTACGTTTATTTTGATGGACGATTGATGGCTGACTAGTTCAGAGTCCCCAAGACCAAAGTCAGTCGACACCGAGCAGTAGTCGATGAAGACATTCGGTTACAAAACTGTAACTGTAGTCTCATCAGATGATTCACGATTGTTATAAGCTGTCTGCATCAAAGCAGCCGCCGCGCAGAAGAGTGAAAACCCAGCTCTAAACGAGGACCAGTTTGTGAACACACGTTAACTAGCAGAGCAGCGGTATGTATTCAAAGCTTGAGGTCAGCATACGTGTAAATATAAATGCATATGTAAATAAGAGCCCATGTGGCTTTTCACCAAATCAGTCTGGGGTTCCGTAACTTAGCGCGTGGTTAGGACGGTGAAGAATAATTTGTCGCAGGAAATTATTCGCATTAACAGTTGCTGTTTTTTATCAGTGGCTGAAAGAATATCACCGAATCCAGTGGTGCGAAAAACTTGTACGATGAGTAAAATACTCAAGACCACATACAAGCCATGGTTCAGTCATTTCAGCCAGCAGTTTTGCTCAGTGAGACATGACAGGAAACTGCCAGAAGTGATAGTCCGCGGGGCTAGCTCGCGGAAAAGTGGAATATATGGGCTCCGGTAAAAAAGTAAACTATCACCTGGATGAACACTTACCTTCGGCACCTCTTGGAGTGGTGGGTCCAAACAGTACGTATGATAGCTGATGTCACAGTCATCGCATAGCAATAACAAGCTTTCATTTGTGGTCCCACCACATCCTTCACAAACTGTACAGTCCAAACAACGCCACCCTTTCTCGAGCATAGTGCGCGTTATTTTCGGGACGTCTGCGCAAAACGGGTGGTAACATTGACCACACTGAGCACAAGCTAGTAAGACAGTATCCAAGCCAAACGACCCACAGGCGACACACATATCTTGTTCCAAAACGAATGTGTCGTCCGCACGACATAGTACCACCGTACTCGGATGATCGTCCTTCTCGTCTGGCGTTTTCGATTCATACTGTGGAAGAAAGAGGACAAAATGATGAGCAAACCAAAGACGCTCGTTAGATACGATGAAGAAACTGACCTTCCAAAGGTAAAAATGAAACTCAGAATGAAAAAAGCGGAATGCAGCTGCTGTGAAAAATGCAACCAGGGCCTGAGGCAAGCAGAGGAGGTATAAAAGAACCAACGATAAAACTGGAAAACCAATGATGGAAGAGCCAAAACCACTGGAGTAAACACGAAACAAGGCCGACAATCCGTAACACAACCTGATCAGAAACGGTACAAATTGCGGAGCCAAGACCGATTGGATTCGACCGTTGGTTACGAGCCATCAGCGAGGCGACACGGCCTTCGAGTCGCCTGCGCCGATCTTCGTCCGCAACGAAATTTTCCGCAGTGATATCACTGCGCAAATGAGCACTGGAACGCACAGCTGCCGCAGCGGCCAGAGCAGACCGCGTACAGCTGGCGATTGGACCAGAATTAGACGAAGATAGATGCATTTTCCACGCATCCCCATCCAAAGTGTGCTGCAGGTTTGCTTTGAGTGCTTGAGTTTGAGAAGTGCGTTTCACAGAGAGGGTTTCAGAGGCAAGCCTCGGAGGCTGCATGAATTCTGGTAGAACCTAAGCAAATGAACATCGCTTTTAGATGGCTGGCAACACACTCCACCGTAAATCAAAACGTCATAAAAGTCTTCGGAATCGAAACGATAAATGATTGCCGTACTGTGCAGCGCTTACCCTGGGATGAACAAAAGAACCGACAGTTTTGGAACTTGCAACCTAAATTGAGGTCACGGCACAGGAAGATGTCGCCGGAAAAGACGATAAGCGAGGTCGTGCGCAAAAAAGTAGTAAAGTGTGATAATAATGTGTAACTAGGGGCTTACCATTGATGTTTTCCTAGTTTTCGTTCGCCTCGAGCGGCCTGTCATCGAGGTTGTGGTGTTTGCTCCAGCTGTGCGCTTGAGGGCACCGGTTTTCGTAATCGCCACCGTTCCGTTGGCAGGAACCGTGTTCTGGTATGAATGAAAAACAGTACGTGCGAACTGTACAACACTGTCTCAAAACCATAAACCAGGTTGACACAAAATGCTGCAGGGGAAATTGTGGGTGAACGCCAGCTTAAGCTGCACAGGACAATTATCAAGAGACAGTCAGTAGATGTTCAGCTAGTATCAAGTATCTTCAAACTGCAGAAGGAGAATACGAAAACTATGATAACCCACACCCGAGTTCAGAGAGTGAAGTGCTAAAGGTTCTGTCATCACCGATATGACTATTCAGAGGTGGCATAGAGTGGCTTTGACAGGTACAAGGATGGTGGTACCACAGAAGCACACCCTTTGCGCAGCGTTCCAGTAGACCCATCTTGGCTGGATACTCTGAGGGACAGGCATCGTAAGCTCAAGACTCGCTGCCGTACAACTCGCAGACCAACCACAACGCCATCACAATCACAGCGGCGAGTTCTCCTCCAGAAAACGCAAAACAGTATCTCCCAACGAATTGCTCGATACAGAAGGAAGGCAGCACCGGTATCAACGTTCCATTTACCCACAAAAGCAACCGGTCGGTAGTTGTCGCTCATGTCATATGCTTCACACAGATCCGATTCAAGCACCTGTAAGATCACGTAAAATATCATACCAAACCGGCTAACAACTGGATAGCTGGTCGGTTTCAAGCGAAACCGGTGGGCCCATCAGACCAGTTCCTAAAGTTAAACATTCACCGACAAGTTTGACTACTGACAACTATAATGGTAGTATAGATCTGCGATCCGTGGCAGATGTGTTTCCGCGCATCCGTAGCTGTGATACTAATTAATGGGAGCTATCAAACCGTCCCACCTCCATTGAAATACACATGGGGGATGAACGGAAAAGCAAAACAATGCACTGAAAAGCAAGAAACCTTCCGTTGGTGCTACACTATGATTACACCATAAAAATTCAGCACAAGCAAACGAAAGCAACCGGGACGGGTAGCTCATTCGGACTAGTGCTACACACGAGGAAGTCTGCGTCCCACTAATTTTCCCAGTTACTGGTTGAATTCTCTCACTCAATCCGAAAGACTTCGGCTATGTATTGTCTAGAGGCTCCTTCGAACGATTGCTGACTTTTACGCTGATTTAAATTTTGTTGACTGACTTTTATTTTTGTCAACTAATATCATCTCAATGGAAAAGTTAAATTTTATGGTTTCGTTGTCAGCCAAAACGGTTCCCTAGGTATTCATCTTGTCCTATTCAGGCATTTTAATTTGCCTTGTAATTGAAACATCCTGTTCAACGACCAAGGAACTGCTTACAAACCAACTAACAGTGACGCTATGGTGAGTCCTCTAAAACCTACGCTAGCCGACAAGTGTATTTTTATGGTTTAGAGAGAATTGCATCACAGAATTGCAGCTGCACCCGTGGATGACAATTTTGGGTTACCTCCATTGAACGGTCTAACTGATCATTTTTTTTGGAGAAATATTCACTTATCTTCTAATGATGTAGGATGAAGAATAGGACAGAAACCTCGGATTTTATATATATCCCTCACAAGAAGCCTCGGTGGGTTGCCTGTTTACCCAGTCGCCGTGCCAGCGTAGCGTAATTCTACTGGCAGAAAACCGCTAGTCCTTGGTTCAAAATTAGCTCAGTCTCCGGTTGACAGGTTTTGATCGATCCCGTTCGAATTAGGCTCACTGCAATGTCTAGGTGCGAGTCATAATACGGTTTGGATGCGAGATTCCGCCAAGTACCAATACCACTGACTACAGCTCTCATTGAAGGCGACAGTGCAGTTAGCCACAGATATGGCTTATTATTCATCACTGTCTAAGCCCACCATGACTACGCCGGGTATTTTAATCCGATTTCTGATCATCCAATCCGCACGACTGTGCTGACGGACGCAAGTGCGTCTGGCGCACACACTATTGAACGGGAAACAGAGAACAGCACTGTCTTAACGGGTTTGTGGTGTGCAGTGCACACATTGAACTCAGTCTTGTGCGTTAGATATCAACGCGAATGAGTCAGGCGGTAAGGAGTGCGCTCTACATCCGATCGCCCCAGGAGCGCAGCAAAGACAGACCGGTCTAGTTGGGACATGCGGCATGCTAAGTTGGTTGTATAGACGTGCAAAAAGTATAGGGGGCGATACCGACGCAAGCTCGCCAGTCGAACGATCAATAGATATTGATGGCCTTCGTGTGTAGTCAGGGCGCAACAGTGAACTGCGGAAACGAAAGCTGCTTTTAAAGCTGCAAGCGTTTCCAAGCAGCACGAATCAAACAAACTGAAACTGAAACACGAGGTGGCCTGTGTGCAGCACATTCAGTTGAGGAATATCATAAACGAGATATTCGGTTGAGTCTCTCGTGGATGAGTGCAAATGAGTGTATTTCTCGAAAATAATTTGGGTTCAGTTAGAACATAAGGTTGACGAAAACTCGGGGACTGTGCCTACCTGATAAGCCCTAAGAAGGGCGAAACCGGTCGTGGGCTGTCGAAGAGTTTCCAACAACCTTGTGAGTAGTTTATTCTATTAAAAAAGAGAGCTCCTCTACCTGATTCAATGAGGCAGGTGCGTTACTGAACAAATTGTGCGATCGGAAAACTGAGCCAAATATTTCGCAGATATGGTGGCCAACCCTTGAATAGTGCGTACATCTCTTCCAAAAACAATGTTCAACGCTCTCCTGCGAACAGTTCTTGTTTGGCAGTAGGCACCTGTTAGACCAACGCCTACTGTGGTCATCACAGAAGAGGTGAAAACACGCGTTCGACTTCAGGAGTTTGGTCGGAGTCTTGGAAAGAAACCGTTATTACCTTCCACAGCTTTATATGAATTAATCTTCCGTTCTCGTAAAAAGTCCGTGGGTGTGAGACAGTAGCTGTGAAACCGATAGGTAACTTTGCATCTGGAAAAGTATCAAAAAATACGGGCAGCTCGAACAAAGTTGGGCTATTTCAAATGATATAGTTTGGATTATTCCTATCGTGACGTAATGCTCTTCAAAATGGACGCATTTGGGTGATCCTTAATGGTATAAACTCCAAAATAAAGTGACAGCTCGTATGTACGCTCAAGTAGTAATAGTGGCCGCGTGCAACTGAAGTCAGTCGTAGCCAGAGCGTTAACAGTGCAAAGCCTTTGGTTTTTGCGCGCTGTATAGCTTGAAGATAATGTCTTAGATACAATAAAGTGAATATTATGCCTACCAGTGGTGTTTCTTGGATCCGAAAATATAGTCTGGACTAGAAATTTCTAATAGAATAGGCCTTCGGATACCAGGAGCAAATACCAAAAAGGGACCACTGGACATGGTGCAGGTGGTCCTTTCTGGGGGGTGGCTATTCCTGTGGATGGACCATAGCTCCAGTTTTGTGTGAAAACTTGCTTAACTCTCAGTCGAATGTTCGTTTTTAGGTCTGTTACATATGTTTGTAATTTATATCACTCTCCGTCAACTCGTCTGGTAAAATGAGATCTTTGTAGGGTGGACAAAGAAGCAGCTGGGGGCCTTAATGTCCAGTTGGTGAGCGGAACTATACTAATCAAAACCCTTATAAAGAGGCTTTCCATGTGACTTTAAAATTAATCTACCTTTAGCGCAATCTACTTTCATTCTAATTAATTAGACTGTTTGATTGATCATCCCGGATTCATCACCACCTGAAGAAAATTACTCGCGATAGACCAGTAAACACAAGGCCGCAAGAAAATATGGTATACTCGTCACTGTTGCAACCCTGGAGTTGAATGCAAGCCGTCAATAGGAGGATCAACATTCACCTAGAAGTTATATCTCGGTGGAATCGGCCTAAATTGCCGACATCTGTACTTTTGCAGTTTCGCGATATCATAGGAATCTATTTGCATTTGCCTTAAGGGAAAGCCTAATTAAAACGGGTCTGAAAGCGACAGAATCGGTGAATACCAGGATACGTTCAAGCAGAGTTTACATGCAGCGAACGAAAGACCAGAATTGTGTATGAGGCTCAAAAGGGCAGTCGAGGATGAAACAATTCACTCTACGTTTATCACTGGATACAAACTGGGACACACATGATCCACGAAAGTGCCTTTTTGAAACAACAAATGAAAAGTTACCTGGTTTCAAACACCTGTATACAACAAATTGCTAAGAGTATCACATTAGCTGAATAAAGTCACGCAGTGCTTCTAAAAGATCTTCACTTGATCTTCGAGAATCAACATCCCATTTCAAGTGAAGTGGCAAATGGTGTACAGGACACACAAGTGAGCCGTTGTCGAATAATTAACTTGACAGTGCTTGCAAGTGTTCACGGCGTTCATTAGAAAAACCAGGCTGATCAACGTTGAGCTCTAAGGTGCGCCCCATGATACTACAACAAAACATTGAAACACACCCTTGCACAGAAAAGTCAGCTGTCAAGCCTATTAGGTAGTACCATGAGTATGCATTAGAGCTAACCGGCGGGACTAAACTCAGCTTTTCGGGTCATCGTAGCTAAAGAGAATTCAACTATCATGTCAAATGTTTACATCTCTGCTCGTTTACAGAAAGACAGCCCCCATTTGGGGGGGGGATGTAATAGACTTGAAACTGACGGGTTTTTCGTTCCCTATTTGGGGGTTAGGATTTCGCCCCGTTGGTAAGATTCGCAGTCTCTTTGGAAGGAGGAGTCTCTATTCTAGAAAAATCAACCAGGGGTTTACTGTGTATCCGCCTGTAAATCTAAGTAACGTCCTGTAGACGGACACAAAACCGATAACAAGAACTGGATTTACAAGATACTGAGTACACAATGGGAATCTGGGCATTACGTTCCAAATAGATATCAGAAATGCCTTGTCACTGCGACTGTCCAGAGGACTAATCTTGCCTTTCATTTTGTCTTCGCTCAACAGACTCGCTTACTCTTATCCAACCTGTTTAGCGCAGGTCAATCAAAAAGCCAAAGGTGAACCGGTAAACAAGCTCTCCTATATACTCGGTTACTACTATAGTGTCAAATTCTGATGGCGAATTACAACCCGAATTCGATCTGATGTGCCATGTCTGATCACTTGTTGTGGAACACAAGGATAGTAACCACCTATACCACGGCGACTGGATAAATAAGTGATTTTCAGAACCACCAGGTGAGGTTGAACATGGAATGTGTTACCTTGACGGATGCGTTAGATCTGGAGGTTTCTGACGAAAGACCGGCTCCGCGCTTCCGTCCAGTATACTGAGTGGAACTGCCAAGGTTACTTTCTGAACTAATCCGGTTTACCGAGGATGAACTTCCGCGGCTCACCGAACTAGTAGTCGCATTACCTTTCGTGTTTAGTCTAGGAGATGCCGACGCACCACGAGTTCCTTGTGCCTGCGAACTTTCTGGCACGTTGAGCAACACCTGCTGCTTTCCAGGTTCTGTGTTTGGTGTCGTGGAATTGGAAGTACAGCTGGATGGAGTGTTCACCCACGTGCTGGGAGCACCCAAACCAAGTGCTGACTGAGCGGAGATACCTTGCCGGGCAGGATCATCCAAGCCGCCTGAACCAGAAAACACTTCCTCACTTCCATCACCTCCACTGTGACTGCTATTACCACATCCAGGCAGGGGGCTGGCGCGCAAGGATGCAGTTGTGGACGCAGCCTGAAATACGAGGTTGGAGTTTAGAATATTCAATGGACGCGCGGAGCAGGCAAACACTATGTTCAATAGCCTTACCTCACTAGGCGTTGCAGAACCACGCACTCTGCATACGGGACAGGAGTAAGCTATCCCACCGGCCAAGTTAGTGTCTTCACTTATCGCTGAGGAGGGGGACGCTGTTCCAGTCGCTACAGACTGCAACGGGTCGCAATCTGCATGGACCATACGACGGCATTTGGTGCATCGACGGCCCGGCCAGGTGACATGCGCATTGGTTTGTGGCTGTGTAGATATATAGCTAGGAACCTGCAGTAGAAACAACAGGGAATAGAGTGCTAACGATAAAGGCAACAACTTCAAAGCGATTAGTTGTATAGGATACATGGGCAGGTAAGACAGGTGGTTAGTTTCTAGAGAGTGCTTTAGAGAATGACTTTTAGAGCTTACTTGCAAGGAACAGCGCCAGGCACGTTCACACACAGGGCAACTGGCCGTGGGACGCTTGCGGGAGTGGAAACAACGATCGCAAAGGGTATAATTGCTGTGCCACTTGATTGCTGGGAGCTGAAACAGACGGACGATATGGATAACTGTACAAATGCAACTAGAATTTACAAATTGAACTAGAATTAGCCCCTGCTGCTGGAGATTGCTTACTGGTAACTCAAGTATTCACGAAACACTTACCCGCGCACAATCCGAGTGCATACACAAACCTGACGCTGGTCGACTGAGTTCATAGACATGTTTGTTGACTAGAAATGACAGAATGTAGTTGCTGTCTTCTACAACCGTTAGTTGATCATTCTACTTATGGGATGAACTCGTGGACTTTTTGCGTCCGAACACATCCGTACATATTGAATCAGTAACTCCTCCAGCAATCAAGAATGAGGCATTCCTACAAATACCCTAGTTCGCCGGTGATTACCACATAGAATAGTGCATTCCCGGCTGGGTTATTGCAGGAAAGTATTTGCAAAGTGGTTATTTATTACCGAAAGCGCTGACACTGTTCCCATGGAGCCAGGTGAATACCGCACGACGCTGATTAGGCATTCACTGTTTGTACGCGCACATGACGGCAAATGATACTAGATTCGAAGATACCATTCGTGACATGATAAAAGAGGGAAAACAGGTAAAATTGCCGACCATGAAAATTTAAAGACAAGAGGGTAGATCCGTCCATTTTTGAACGTCGCGTAGATGGCCATTCTACACTTTGGTCAATTTTCATGTCTCAGCTGTACTACAAAGCAAGTTCGACCGTGCGGATGAAAAGACGCGCAAGAATTATATAATCCTAATAAAAAAAGCCTGAGGATTTGTCACTTGGATGATGGGGTAATTTAACGGAGTAAAGACAGGTTTCTCGAAGATGGTGCAACGCAGCGATGCGCCGAAAGGGTGAGACGACTCAACAGCGGTATTTTTTCATGTAGATGGTGTGCGATTTGCAGACGGATCAGCATGGACGCTCAAGGACGAAAGCAGAAGATAGGAGACCCAAACGGAGGCTACTTGACACAATACACCTCGGAAGCAGTGAAACATACGAATTTGATCTTGACTCCTTTATCTCTTATTGAATGACTTGTTGTGTATGCTTCACGGGAACAGTCTTTGTAGCGCCGTAGTGATTGCAGATTCCAGATCGCTTTCACCCTGAGTAAAGATTACGCACAGTTGTTCTCCTGATTTCGTCTAACGGTTCGGTCTATGGAAAAATTAAGGGCAACTGTTGGTTCTGTCAGTCATTCTTACCACTGCGGAGGTTGAAATACTGAGCAGGAATAACCAAAGCATGCAGTAATATCAGTTACAACCACTTTCACTGTGTAGCTACTTACATTATTAAAGAATTGCCTTCCATATGATACCATCTGACTTACCTGAGGGTTGTTGAATTCCACCATAACACCCAATCCACTCACGGTCGATGCCCGACCAGCCCCACAATCTGAACAAACTCGACAGCGTTCGCATTTGAATCCGTTCCGAGGAATACAGGAAACCGGTGGTCTTAGGCAATAGGTATGAAAACCTTTGTCACATACATCACAAACCAGCATTTTGTTTTCATCTTTGCTCTCACTGGGAGTTAGGGAAAAGTAATAAAAGAAGAAAGCACTGGATCAGTAAAGGGTCTAGAAAAAATGTTATTTGAAAAGGCGGAGTCTCGAAACATACGAATGGGTTAACCCATCAAAGCGTTGTTGAAAATCCGCGGCAATAGCGGAGGAAAACAGTCCAGCCCCTCAAGCACGACATAGGTAGCCGTCCAAGCTGTTCAAGATTCGGACCGCAAAACTAATTTCCGAATCGAGACGGGTGAGTCTGACGTTCGCCCGAATGGTAGTGAGTGTAAACAACACACCAACCAAGGAGACACCAGTGAAACTGTCACAACTCCAAAACAACTTCACAGACTGCGACGAAACCCAACCACTGGAAGCTGAAACGTGAATTGATGCGTGCAAGTAGGAAATTTGCATAACCTTCTCCCCACCATTTAGGCAGGCGCAGATGACTGGATAGGCAAGGAAGTGCTCGAACGTATACGGGTCAGTGATCTGAACAGTTATTGGAAAGAGTCAACGAAGATAACTTGGCGTTCGAGCTCTGTTACTTTGAGATACTTTCATCGAGTGACAGTCCAGGTGGTGGCATGCAGTTTTCGCTTGCACGCTTATCTCCAGTGGTTGTACTTGATCCAATGACTATCGGGTTTGTAGTTCAGCTAGTGCAGTCATTTGACACATCAGAAATTCGGTGAAAGTTTAGTTTTTAGAGCAGATTAACAGACCACGATGAAACTAACAAGTGTTAGGCCATGGGATAAGAATTGCAAGAAACAAACTCTGTCCCTAAGTGAAACACGAGGCGGCCTGATGCGGCATATCCAGTTGAAGAACATCAATTCATACATTACCCGTTGATATCAAAATACCCTGCTCTTTGGAACGGGTGGGGTGGTTGAACCCATTTTTTGTCATAATTAGTGTTCTTTAGACACAGAGATGGTTTGGGCAAAACATACAAAATGCCCTTGATTTCATATTGGTAACATACAGCAGCAAACCCTTGGGGTTTTGTAAATCTATGCTTAGATTTACGAAACCCCGTCACGAAGAGACTGGACCTTACCGTGGTGTGGCGGTTTGTGTACCTCGGCAACCCATTGAGATATACTGGAGAGTGTCCGCACGATACTCACATAGTCTCTCATACCAGGTTGGTCAATGGGTAGCGGTCCGACGAACACAGTCTCCTGGCC